TTTTTATTTATTTATTTAACAGAGAGAAAGAGCACAAGTAGGCAGAGCGGCAGGCAGAGGGAGAGGGAGAAGCAGGCTCTCCGACAAGCAGGGACCCTGACGTGGGGCTCGATCCCAGCACCCTCGGATCATGACCTGAGCCGAAGGCAGCCGCTTAACCGACTGAGCCACCCAGGCCCCCCAGCTATGCATTCTTTACCTCTACATTTTTATATATCCATTTGTATATATGTATTTTATATATACATTCAATGATTAAAAGTTTACAAAATAAAATCTATGAGAAACTACTAAACTGAGTTAGGGATTTTATTTCAGAGAAAGTAATTTATGCATGTTATCTTGTTCAATAAGTACAATCATTTAGTTGGTTAGAAAATATTATTCTATTTGAAAGATGAGCAAGCTGAGCCTTAGTGGGGTTTGTCAAGTTACTTATTCAAAGACATAAAGGGAGCAAGTGAGCAAAGCAAAGAAATAAATGGAGCTGGGGTTGGAACCCAAGCAGTCTGACCCACACCTGTTCTTGCCCCCACCTACCAGTTAGATTTAACGAGATCTGTAGATCTGTTATGCTAAGTTAATTGTTCCTCCATGTGATAGTTCTTAACTTTTCCTATTTCCCATCCATTAGACCAAATTTGCCTACATTAATCAAACATGATCATCCATCTCATGCATCTTTTCTACAATAAAACCCATATATTTGGGTATTCCTTCTCATAGAGATGTTAAACAAGGGTGTTTAAATGAGTTGGATAAAGAGCTTAATTTATGTAGGGTCGTTTCTCCCCATTTGTTCATAATTCCCAGTAAACTGAAATTCTTTTTGGTGTTTATTGTAGCATTACTGCATTGGCCTTTCATGCTAGAAAATGACTGGGTTGGGGGTGAGAAGTGAGTACAGAGGGTACATATAAGAAGCAACAGATTAGCTCTCTTAAAATACTCATTAATCCCCGCTTCCTGTCGGAATCACTACAATAGGCCTTCCCACAATGTTCTATGTGGCGTTATGCTAAATCTCACTACCACAAAAACCTCTTATGTTATCAATGTTTAGGAATAATTAACACTATTCCAGATTTGCACAAATGCTTTGTAGATGATCTGAGATCTGAACTCTGCAAATATTTCAGGAAGTTGTAAAAAGATTAAATTAGCATGTGTGAATACAGTTCTTCATTTGTGAAAAGTCGCCATTTTACAATTAGCACCAAAGGGAGACAATCTGATTCCTGAGAACCTTGATTACCTTTGCAAGAGTGACTTCTCTTATCTATGTGAATTCTTCCTGAGGTGGGCACTGTTCCTTCAAAATTGAGTCCAGCTGCTTTCCCCATTCCTGCAGGAGAATCTACTATTCCTGAGAAGAGAGGCTTTTGTTCATCATCAATGGAGGAGATGAAAGATGAAGATCTGCTTTTTTTCTCTTCAAAGTGCTTCTTGGAACTGTGATAATGTCTTATGGTATCTACAGAGTCTTCAGGACCATTTGTACTGTTCCCTTTGCCAAAATCTATCAAAAAAATTATTTTATAGGAGATAATCAAATGTGAGACTCTATGCATATTATGCTACCTAACTATATATAAACTACACTTTTAATAGTTGTGTTCTTTAAATAACTGTAACATAGAATTTTCTTTAGGGGAGCCTGGGTGGCTCAGTTGGTTGAAAGTCCAACTCTTGGTTTTGGCTCAGGTCATGATCTCAGGGTCCTGGGATGGAGCCCCACAGCAGGGATTCTCTTCCTCTCCCTCTGCCCCTGCCCCCCCAAATAAATAAATAAAATCTTAAAAAAAATAATTTTATTTAAAACCACCAGGAAAGTTGTTCATTCTCTTTTTCCCATTGAGAATGTAGCTACTTATGGAGAGTTTTTTTCTTAATTCAAAGGACATTAGATTATCTTAATGAAATACATTGTTTGTTTATGTCTCAGGAAAAAAAAAAACAACCTGTAACTTATAACCTTATTTATACATGCTCAACAGTCATCTGTATTCTTAAAATCTCTGGTCTACTATCTCTTTAAGGAAATGAAAAAAGGGGGAAAAATGTGTCCCAGTTCTAAAATATCACGACCATGCCGTCTGTTTGTTTTTAGCCTCATGCCCTCTTGTGTGGCAGGCATTCACATGTTGTGAAGGTCAAAACCAGAAGCCTCCTTGTAGTAAAGGCTGACGGGATGAATTTCAGCCTTAGTTCAGTGTATGTCATGGCCTTGACATTCCAGGCATTTTGGTAGTGTAGCATACTGCAAAGAATATAAAGCTTAAATACAGTAATTAAGGTGGGTTTACCTAATTACATTAAAGCCAATAGTGCATATTGGCTGTTTTATACTGAAATGTCAGGACGATTTTAGCCCTGAAAGTTGCGTTAGAACATATTTCAGCAGGAAAAACTCCAAAAGACAAATCCCAGAACTTATTTCCATTAGTGTCCTGGGGAGACAGTATAATTCTCCATCTGGTTACTGCTAATAGCTAACCAACGCACCTCCAGAAGGTGTAGTATTTTCTAGAGAAATGGTTAAGATAGTGTCCCCATCTACTCTATGCCTGGTTGTGCTTAGTCTATTATTTATAGAAGGCCAAATGAACTGACTTAGGCCACTCCAGAGAAACTTCCAATTATTTTTTAAAATACTTACTTAAAAAATATGTATCATAATTTAAAATATGAGAAGCCAGGAAACAGCCCAAGGCAAAAATGAATAGAGTTTAAAAATCAACTTTATGGGGCGCCTGGGTGGCTCAGTGGGTTAAGTGTCCAACTCTTGATTTTGGCTCAAGTCATGGTCTCAGGGCTGTGAGATCAAGCTCCGCATGGGGCTATGAGTTCAGTGGAGTTTGCTTCAGATTCTCTCTCTCTTCCCCGCCCCTCCCTCTGCTTGTGTCTGTGCGTCCGTGCACGTGCTCTCTCTCTCAAATGAATAAATAAAACTTTTTAAAAAATCAAGCTTATATGAAATTGTTATTAAAGAGTTCGTTTATGTCCTGTCAATTAAAGTTAAATGCAGCAAAAACTGATTGCTTAATTTATTTTCTTTAAGATTTCACACTTGCTCAGCGATTTTATCATTGCTGAGAAAATCACAGACTTTTCCAGTTTGTTCGTTCTTCCATTCGTTTGTTCGTTCCTTCCTTCCTTTCCTTTTTTTTAGAGAGAGAGAGCACGCACCCGAGGCAGGGCTGGATCTCACGACCCTGAAAGATCATGACCTGAGCCGAAACCAAGAGTCAGATGGTTGCTTAACCACCAGAGCCACCCAGGTGCCCCTCCCAGTTTCAAGCACTGTGGACACCATTCGTTGCTCAGAGTCACTTACATTTCCCCACTCAACCGCTAATCCAATTGGCTATAAATTTTCAGATCGGCATTTCCTTTTCTCTCCAGTGTCCCTGGCACGGCCCTCCTTAAACTTCTAGAGTTCATTATTATCATCTCATCCTCTGTTTTCTTTGGTTTTAACTTCTTCCCTCTTGAAAATTTGGTCTACATTCCCCATTTTCTAAACACATTTCATTCCTCAAAAAATAATTGTTTCCAATTTTATGCTAGTAAATGTAAAAAAAAAAAAAAAAAGCTTCACTTCTCTAACTTGTCCTCACACCTGCTTAGAGAATTGCATCAGTTTGTTGCTCCTGAGTACACCTTTGTGCAGTTTGGGCACCAGTGGGATTTGAATCAGCACAGGCTTCTGACCTTCCTGAGAATGCCTTCCTTTTAACCACTTGCATGGAGTCTTCTCCAGTATATTCAAATGTAAACTGAATTAATCATTACTTCTTATGCCTCCGATCTAAGTACGGAGAATGCTAACATGGATCTTTGTAATGAATGTACATCACAAATTACACAACCATTTTGTCTTTTTGGCTTGAGAGGTCTTAGGAGTTCTCTGTAGATTTTTCAATCCTCACACATAGTAAAATGTTCTGTCCTACCTACTGCCTGGGCCTCAGTCTTTGTTTACTAAGTGTGACTTGATTTTGGATGCTAAGGGACAAATTCATCAGTTAAGAGATATTTTTAAGTTGAATTATCATAACTTGCTGATTTCAACTCAGGACAAATATTCATGAAATGTGGTGAATGAGGGATTATGATTTCGTCCTACTGTAAAATGGAACAAATTACTTTATATACATGGTCTCTCAATCTTAGAATAAAAACTCCAGGTGAAAGCAGAATCACGAGAGAAGAAGAAAGAGTTTCATTTCCTTGAACTTTTCCAATTCGTAAGGAGAATTACTCCACATTTACTTCTGTGTTCATTGCCACTGGAGGATGAGCCTGCTGCTTCCTGGGACCTAGGCCACATGGACAGTTTCTTTAATGCAGCCTCCCTGCAGCCACATTTTTCTATTCCTTATTAGATAAATCAAAGCTTCATATTCTATCACAGAAAATGAAAATTGAAATGACCATCGATTTGTGGATTAAAAATGGAAACTGCTCTGGGTTAGGCTGGAGGTTGGCTGAGGGAATACATGAAATTAGGCTAAAATGCATTATAATTAGTCTCCAGGTACCTCTAGATTTTGAAGGCCTGTTCCATTTCTGCCCTTTTCTAATTAAACTGAATTATTTGATAGATATTATATAGTACGAGGCACTGGTTTTTCTTGATATGAATTTTTTTCTTAATGTTATTCTATGTAGAAATAGTATTCTGGAGACAGTAAGGTCAGGGAGTTTTACATTTTCCCCTCTGCTCGAGGTGAGATTGTCTAATCACTCCTGTTACCATCATTTTACAAAGACAAATTTTCACCTGTTTAATTAAACCTCAAGTTTGCTTTCTGATTTAGATGATTAAAACCTTTTTTTTTTTTTTCAAATCCCTTGTTTCTGGAGGCTGACAGTTCACCTCCTCACAATTCTAAAGCATTTGTGATTTACCTTGTGGGTGTCTCTCTGGGTTCAGACTGAATTCAAGAGTACAGGATAAGAGTATCCCAATGGAGTAGTTGACCCATCCATCTTAAGAATGATAACATTCTTCTATTTCAAACAATCTGGGAGCAAATGCTTGCTCACTCCACCTTTTATGGAGCTTTTATTTCAGATTAATTACCATTTTTATTTATCAGACCCAGCAGATAGACCCAAATTTTGGTTGAAAAGAGGCACTGAATGTGCCCTGCCCTGTCAGCATTTGAGTTTTGGATTTCCTACTGGTAACAGTGCTGAAATAAGCTGAGCATTTTAGGGCCAGATGCACTTCAAAAAAAGTTATTTCATTAAAAACTGAGGTCTAAAATAAATTTCTTCAATTGATTTCAAATACCTTAGTTCCTCTCTAGCTTCAAGGAATGTTGAAAGGGGACTAGTGTCATTTTTCTATACAAATGCAAGATAAAAACATTTAAACTGTCTTAAAAATTAAAATAAAGCAAATTACATTTATGTATCACTAAAGTGGATATTAAAAGCTAAGTATTATTTGTTATTGGAGAAGATGTTCTTAAGGGATGCCAAAGTATAATACCAACATGTTTAAGGCTTAAATTAATAGAGTTAAACCACTTTTATTCTATAAAAGTAAGTTTAACAATGTATATATTTACTCCTTACTTCAATAGCCTTCATACTACTATGCTACTTTGATATTGCGTTTTCTGTCCATAGAAAGAGTTGTGTAGAATATCCCAAATATTTGGTCAAAAAACACAATCGGTTAAAAAATATGTGTGTGTGAGTGTATGTGTGCGTATCTCATGTGTTATTATACATGCTATTATACTAATATATTATGTATCTTATAAACTATACCCAACATAAAATCGTAATTATCACCCAATGAATCATATTGGCATACTCTGAAGTAAGCACAATCCAACTTTGAAGATATTTAAAGAGAGACAACTTTTTTAGCATGTTTCAAATGAGTATACCTCATTTACTTCTGTTTGGGCCAATCATCTTAACAAGTCCTTAACAAAGGCCACTAAATAGGTCACTGAAGCATCATTTTTGTTCTTCACTTTCTGAAACAATGACTTTACTTCCATCTCAGGAACTGTAGGACCTCTTTTTTACAATGACCTTAGTTAAGTTGGGGAGTTCTGGGGCACCTCCAGTCCAGAATTTGAAGAAGGAAAGAGAACTACTTGAAGATTAAAAAAAAAGCAAGCAAGCAACAAGATGTCCTCAAATTCACAGCTAAACTAACAACTTTCTCTTGTTGAGAAGTAGGTTTATTTCATCAGAAGAAATGAGAAGCTCATGAGGACAAGCCACGTTCATCAACAAATTAATTTTAAGAGATAAATGATCCAAAATATTAACTTCTATTTTGTTCAAGTCAACTTGCCAGAGATTCTATATACCTTTTCTTTTTAAATGTATCTTTTTGAATGTAAGCTCCTTAACGACGTGTAGCTGGCGTGATTGGAAGGGGTGGGGGGTGGTAAGGATTGAAGCCTAAAGAGTTCTGGTGCCTTGAGTAGGTAGTGAGTGGCAGTGCAGGACTCAGCCTTTGTCTGTCTCCAAAGCCAGTCATGTGTTCTGTCTGGTTCTTGATGCCTTTGCTAAGTGATTCACAGTCATCAGCACTCTTGGTTGTCTGCCTTCAAGATATTGTTTCACATGAGCATTAAACTAATTAAAATAATCAATGCACTGCATGAGCAGCTTTTAGTTTATGTACCCCCATAGCATTTAACATCAATAATTTTCTGAAAGTTCTTTGTTCTTTATACTTAAGTATGTGTTTTTCTGCTATACATTCATTCTACATCAAGATATGCATAGAGTGAGTGTTCTGCCTTTAGAACATTAAACTGGGGCGATGGGGACTAGATTGTTTTCAGCAAATTTTTATACTTGCTGTAGCACCATGGAGTCCTGAAGACTAGAATAGGTTCTCAAGTTCTGGATGACTGGAGTTAATTGTGTCTTCACATTGCCCAAATCATGCTTACTCATTGACACACCAGGAAACTTCAAAGAGCTGCAAGCAGGCAAATACCTATACTTTATATAAGATAAGTCTCATAGACTAAGTCTGTGATTAAAGGAAGTTTCCAGAATCAATAGAAATGTCTAGTTGCATGAGCACAGTATACATTGTGATATGCTCTTAGGGCCTTATCAGGAGATAAAAACATTAGATTATTTAGCTTGAGAATGAGGAAACTAGACAAGATTGAAAGGAAATTTACCTGAAGTCCAGCAAACAGCTGCTGTCTAAGAAACATGATTTATAATGAACTTGGTAAAATAGGTTTTTCACTCAAAATAATTAAAAGCATTATTTTCATGAAAAAAAAATAAAAATAATCTTCAGGTGTACCGGGAACATTATTGTACAGACAACATTTTCAAGTTGTTCTTCATATCCAGCCAGAAAAAAATAAGAGATTAACTTCAGGATAAGGGATTTTGATTAAGCCTACCGAAGAACAGCTTGAGAGTAATGGTTTTGATTTTAGAAAAAGTTACCAAGAGAATAATGAAAGACACCTCAGAAATAAATTATCAGCTATTTGAGTAGTTTATTGTTCTGTAATCAGCCAGAGGACTCAACAGTTAGCCCAATTCAACAAATATGTATCAACCATTCTTTGTTAAAGGAATCTGCAGTTTGATAGAGAAAAAGGACAATAAACATTAACCACTGTGCAGGGCAGATTTTGACAGTATCACCAAAGGAAAGTGACGTGGGAATTCATAAAAGAAAGAAAATCTATATATTTGGGGAAATCAAGAAAAGAGTTCATATTGAGGAGCATCTCTCTACTTGTTAGATAAGACGCTTCCCAATTCATGAATTGCTTCCAAAGTCAATTACTTCTTAAAAAAAGAGTTTATGTTGAATATATCACTGGAGATTAACCATGACAAGAAAAAGGTAATTTTGGTTGATGAAAAAGTGGTGTGGTGTGGTTGCATGTGCCTGTATTTGACGATAGGGAGATAAATTCTGATTAAAGGAATGATATAAGCAAAAATACAGAAATGATTTACATGGAATAGAGGGCAGTTTAGTTTACTTGAAGTGTAGAGTAAGCTGAAGCTAGTAGATGAGCTGCCCTAGGGAGAGAATTCAGAGTGAAAGGGGCCAAGGAGAGAACTTGGATGAAGAAGGCAAAAGGAGGAAGAGAATCAAAAGGAAGATGCTCAAATTCTATTTCATTAATTGATTTACTTTTTCAACAAATATTTGCTAAATACTTGCTATGAGACAAGCACTGAAGTTACAGGTGACTAAATATTTCCCATCTCAATGGAGTTTGGAGTCTAGGGGCAAACAACATTGATTAAATAATGATGCAAATAGACACAGAAGTACAACTGGAATTAGTGCTGCAAAACAGAGGAGCTGCTTCGAGAAGGACAGGTTAGGGTTGTTGAGGAAAGGGGAAGTCCTTAGAGGGGAAGTCCTTTAAATATGTGCATGACATAAACATAACTGCATTTAGGAAAAAAAAAAAAAGATCACCAGTGGTCCAGTGTAGGGAATAGATGAGAGAGGGGCAGGTTGGATGTGGGGAGGTGAGTTGAGATGCTCTTTCAGTATTCCAGGTGACAGATTAGGGTAGCTTGGCCCAGAATTGTGGCTAAGAAGATGGAGAAAAGTGAACCAGAAGGGACCTGGTTTGAAGACTAAATGAAGATGTACTGGAGCAGCAATAACAAGACCTGTTGCCAGAGTTGATGGATAAGTTGAGAGAAGGTCACCTCCTAGATAGATATCTATCTAGATATCTGGTTTGTGCAATTGATTGGGTGGTGGTTCCATTTAGAGACATGGCAACTGTTGAAGAGACTGGTTTCCGGAGGAACATCATGAGTTCAATTTAGGAAATTTTGATTTTGAGCTGCCTTTGAGATTTCAAGTTGATGGTTTAATAGGCAGTTGGATATATGAGATTGGAGCTCAGATGGTCTGGGATTAAAATGTAAATATTCACATCTCTTATGTGAGAATACAATTAATATAAATGAGATCACCCAGGAAAATGTTCGTATAGAATGAGAAGAGAAGAGGCCTAGGGCGACACCTTGAGAAATTCTAATAACTAATAGCTAGTTTAGAAGATAATGATCCTGTAATTCTCTTCAGGGAATTACTGAGCACTAGAAGGAAAATTGGAAGAGTGCAGTATCACAGATGCCAAGAGAAGAGTATTCAAGAAAACAAGGGGACTTGTTCTGCTGAGAGCCAAATTTTAGACTAGAACGCTTTTTGGATCAGCCTGGGGCAAGAATGGAGACTTCTTCAGGAAAACCTTCTCTCGTCTGCCCAAGCATAATTAAATGTACCTTCATCTGGGTTTCCATTGAGGTATGAGGTTATTCTAGTACACATCCGCTATTTTTATTCAAAATTACAAAGGGTGTGCCATCCCTTCCTAGGGAAGCTAGGGGCTGTTTTAAACAATTAGTTTTTCAGAAATTGAGTAGTTCTTTAAAAATGTGAAATGTTAAATATTCATTGAATACATGAGTAAAACATAAAGAATAGTTAGAGGGGCAGAAAAACCCAGAGAGGACAAGGAGTGGCAGGTCCATCAGAGAGTGTGAGGATGAAGAGGTCTAACAAATACCACCTTCATCCACATCATACATGTGAGAGGATGAAGCACTCAGGCTGCAACAAGGGTCCTCCCTCCAGAACACTCTGTTCAGGACTCAGAGTGTACTATTCAATGGCTATTAATTGGCCTCCTTTTTCCCCCTCTTTTTCTTTTTTTAACCAACCTACTCTATATCTCTATCTGTGATGTCTCTGTAGATCTCAGATGGCTTTGCTGAATGACATCTTTGAGAGCTATCAAACAGTAACCCTATCATTAGCTCCTGAAAAAAGCAAAAGATTTGCCTTTCTAAAATCTGAATGAAACACCCTTGAAATCAGTAGTAAATGAGCATTTAGTAAGAAGAGCTAATAACCACATGCTGTACATTTAAACTTTAGAAATAAAATGAATTACCTTTGTCTCCCTCACTATCAAATGAGAATTTCCTTCTTCGTAGTTTACAGTTGTCTCCTTCAGAATCATTCACGGACTGTGATCGTAGTAAGAGATCAGCCTTTTTAATGGACATGAAGATAAAATGGAAGATTATTCAATTTGAACATAATATATTGTCAGTAAATTCTTTACAATTTCATATCATTTCAACCACTTGAGACTTAATTATTAGATTGCAAGCAAACAGCTACAATACTTGGCTTCCTGGTTGTCTCTAAATTATAAAATGGACTGATAGAATAATTCTAGTAGTTTCACCATCTGATGAGGAAATCATAGTTGTAGAAGTTATTTGTCAGAAGTGTTTGGGGATAATGTTGTCAACATTTAGAGACAACATATTCTTTCGTGTAGAATGTATTTTATGTAACTTGGTAAAGTTAAAATAAAAATAATAATTAAAAAATTGCAGAATCTGTATTACTACAGAGAAAAAAGTAAAAGTTAATTATAACTAGCTGTGCTGTTTAAATACATGGTAATGATTGCAAAGTCAAATTTCACAACAATAAATATAAGGTTAAATTCAATGAACACTATGCTTTAGGCATTTTATTATTTTGAGCTATTGTTGTATTCCAGTTCCTCCTTCTTTCCCCTCTGGAAATATTTATTTATTTGACAGAGAGAGACCCTCTGGAAAATATTATCATTCTGTAATAAAAATGGAAGCTCTGAAATAAATAAAACCAATGGAAGCTCCTGTTTTATTTGGTCGCTGTCTAAACTTTTTATGTAAAGAAGTTATCTTGTTTTTCAAGGCAAAATCGGAATGAGGTTGGTGACATGAAAATGAGATTTTAATAAGGTATTGAATTCATAAAAAACATATGATTTTGATAACTTGAACCTCTTATCATCTAGATATTTTTCAACTTCTCAGTATTTTGAAGAGAAGCAATTATCTGAGCTGATAATTTAATAACCTGATGCTTCAGGTTATTAAATGGGACCCTGGTGACCCCACAAGTTTATCCTCTTTCAGTCCTGAACAGAGTGTTTTGGAGGGAGGACCCTTGTTGCAGCCTGAGTGCTTCATCCTCTCACATGTATGACGTGGATGAAGGTGGTATTTGTTAGACCTCTTCAGTCACAGTAGCTGGGAATGACTGTAACTCTGGGAGAATTAAATCTACTACCTTTTACCTAACTATTGACTTGAGGATTTTTTCTCCCAGAGAGCATATTAGTTAGCATTAAAAAAGAAAACTTGGAAGTGTCAAAAGCCCAACATTTGGTTTCTGGCAAAAAGCTATTTAGAATCAGAGCTGGGATAATGGGGTTTGGGGAGAAAAGGGGGAGGAATAAACTAGCAGTAAATTATAGGCTGCAATTCTGTATTCTTAGAATGGTGATAAGTCATAAAGACACATTTTTATAGTAGAAGAGAGTGAGGGATGCAAGGGCTACACTAATTTTGACTCAGGTTGAAGCCTGATTAATTTATACTTCTGTGATTTGGAAATTGTGTGAAATGTGGACCTAAGCTTGAATGAGTTTAATTTTTTTCATTATTATTGAAAAGATCTTGCTAACCAGTTTGTGGTATAAATAATAGCTGGGAGAATATTTTAACCCCTGTGTAAAATAAGCTCTTCTAGTTGACTTTCAACAGCCTAGAATCACCCATTTCTTACAAAGAACTGGTACACTCAGTATAAACCAAGGCTATTTTAAATGCAGTGTGTCACCTAAGAGTTCCTGAAAGGTCAAATTTAATTGACCTTCTTAAAGTTATTCAGTATATTTGAAAGTAATTAGACTGAATTCCTTCCCTCTAACTTAGCAATTCCAACATGAAGTTGGCTTTTCCTTCCAAATATTCAGAATCGGTAAAGTTTTGCTCTGTTTGGCTTGATCTTTCAGAAGTATTTTGGCAATCCAAGAATAAAATAAAATGTCATAAGTACAAAAATAAGCAAACCATTAACATATACCTTTGCAGTCTCATGTCTTAGGTTGAAAGTCAACTCTAGGTTTGTGAGAAAGTGATCGGAAAACTCGGGATACATATCCAAAACTTCTAACAAGTCTTCTCTCTGGATCTTATGCAAGTCACAGTATGTGAGAGCTCTCACATCTGCATTAGACTTTCCAGGTTTAGCATAAAGATGAACCATTTCTCCAAATATATCGTTTTTTCCTAAAAAAAAGAGAGGTAAAAGGAGTCTGAACTTAATGTTTTCTTTCTTTCTTTTTTAAAGATTTTATTTATTTATTTGACGGAGAGAGACACAGAGAGAGAGGGAACACAAGCAGGGGGAGTGGGAGAGGGAGAAGCAGGCTTCCCGTGGAGCAGGGAGCCTGGTGCGGGGCTCGATCCCAGGATGCTGGGATCATGACCTGAGCCGAAGGCAGACATTTAAACGACTGAGCCACCCAAGAGCCCCTAATGTTTTCTTTCTAAAAGTACAAGGGAACCACTGACCAGTCCTTGGACCAAAGACTTCAAATGGAAGATCCCATGACCAACAGACACTTGGGCAGCAAAATTCCAGTACCTTCTACTGACTGCTTCAGTCATGTTTGTTTGCTGAGTGGAATTTTACCTCTTAACTTACTGGTCCTGGTATAATTCCTATTATTTCCCTGTTTTGATTCTTTGGCTAGGTCTCTAGAAATGCAGCAAACATGACTTTAGTCTACTCTGCCCTATATGGCTAGCAAAGGGTCTTGCCATATAGTGGGTGTGGTCTAATTTTGTCAATCCAGGAATATGAAAAAGGTGGCAGTGAGTCAGATTCACAAACTTTCTATCTCAGGATGGTCTCGGGGAGGGGGTGGGTGATGCCAGGCACAGGGGTATAGTGGAACGCTTTCAACACTAAGAGGACTAGAGGTATAATTTGAACATACCTTGCTTCTTTTAGTAACGAGTTTTGGATTTGCCCTTGATGAATTTTCCAATTGTTTAATAAATCTAGTTTTATTTATAGTCTTGCCTTTTTACCAAACGGCCTTTATTCTAAAAGTGTGTCCTTCTTGCTTTCTTGCCAAACCTGGGATTATTTCAGTATCTGGCTTCTGAGGGGTCCTCCTCATCCCTTCTGCCTAGCCACAGGCCACCTGCTTTTCCAGGCTTTGTTCAATAATGAGGATGATGACAGCAACAACAAATGCTTACTGAGATTTAAGTAGGTGCCAGGCACTGTGTCAAACGCTTAGGTGAATTATCTCATTTAATCCCTAAAATAACCTCATAAAGAAATTACTACTTATTATCTAAATATTTTGACTATGAAAGAAGATTAAAGAGGTAAACTGATTAGGTCAAGGTCACCTACTTAGTTGGGTGAAGGGAGGGAGAGAGTAGCCATGATTAAATCCCTTGCATTCTGACTCCAGTCAAAATCTTTTCACACTTGGTAGGCTTAATCTCCTCCCAATGTTTTACCTGAATGTCATAGCCACTTAGATTTTTCTGTCTCTGAATGTCAAGGCACTTAAAAATTATGGAATACGTGCTTAATAATAACTGATAAATTATTGATCATATAACTTTTAAAGATCGTCAATGGTAGTGTAAAATGGTACTTTCTTATATATATCGTGAAGCTTCTTTTCAGATTTAGAAAACAACTTTCTGGATTCGTTAAGTTAGTTTTTGATAGACAAGTTTATATATACCTGACTATGGAAACTATCAAAGACTTAAACAATAAAATTCCAATTGGTCAAAAATATCTGTAATGTTCTTATTTTATTTTATTTTTTTTTTTAAGATTTATTTATTTATTTATTTATTTGAGACAGAGAGAATGAGATAAAGAGAGAGCATGAGAGGGAGGAGGGTCAGAGGGAGAAGCAGACTCCCTGCCGAGCAGGGAGCCCGATGCGGGACTCGATCCCGGGACTCCAGGATCATGACCTGAGCCGAAGGCAGTCGCTTAACCAACTGAGCCACCCAGGCGCCCTGTAATGTTCTTATTTTAAATGTGAATTTAATGGGGAGAAATCAGAGATCATATCTCTATGACAGAAATTGATATGGGAGAGAATACATTAACTGTTTTAAATAAATACCTCGCTTCAAACATGGAATGAATAATCATAATTTGTGAGGATTTTAGGTGCAGATTTACATGGAAATGGGGACAGAAAAAAAGAATCTTGAAATTCTTTATAGTTTTAATACTTCGGTATAGATATTATCAAAGAAAAGCTCTCAACTAAATTCAGCATGAGCTTTGCATTTTAATTAGTTTACACCACTGTAAATGAGCAAAAACTAAGCCAGCCAGTGTGTACTGCTTAACTACACTCTAAAATTAATTTTTTATAAGGTGAGAGGGCTTGTTACCTCCCTGTAGAAGCTGGGGCAGGCTGATTCTAAGATCAGGAATGCAGTGAAGCATGCTTCTTCCCTGGCAACATACAGAGCAAACTGTTGAGGCCAAACTTGGTGAAAGTCCAAGTTTATTATATAGCTGCTACCTGATTTACGTTTTTATTCTTTGCCTGATTATTGAATCGTAAACCAAATTGTGCATCTTGTCAATTTGGGGTTTAAAGAAAACTGTCACTATAACAAAATTATCAAAATATATAGGAATTACTCAAACTTCTTCATCCTGTGCTAGGCCATACTCTGGTTTTACACGGCAGCAAAGAAAACAGACAACATCCTTGTCCTTTTTTGGATGTTAACGTCAAGAATCTAGTGAAAGGAAATTGTTGAGTTACATGCTCATTATTTAAATGGACCTGGGTTTAATCCGCAGGAAAACAAAGAAGTGCCTATGTTCACAAATATTGGGTGTGGGTGTTCCCTTGGGGAGACTGAGGCTTAAACCTCCCCGCGAGATGGTAGGGGAGAAAAACTGGTCTCCTTTCTCTCTGCTTCTTTCCTCTTTCCCACTGTTCTAATATTCCAAAGAAATCCTACAAGATCACACTGACTAAATTTGGTTTTGAACAGACAGATTGGATAGATGGACTTTCTTTTGCACCCAAACCAGTTTAATTTACTAGTAATTTTAATCTCCTCACCACCTTTATCTCTATAAGTTCATAGCTCTTTATATGACTTAGGTAAAGACTCATATAATTCCATTTGATAGGACACAGCAGGTAAAAGTGCAGAGCAAATAGATGAAATTTATCAACACATAAACACAGTTCACGACAGGGCACTGGCGCATGCTAGCAAGTATCTTACAATGTATACATTTTATTTAAGGTGTTAAGGGATCCAGCATGAATCCAAGGTTCTCCAACATGAAAAGCAAAATGCTGACTGTTTTCATATATTTGGCCTCAAACGCTTAAGTAGCTGCCAAGAACTAAAGAGAGTCATGGAAGTGTTTACACATCAGAGAAAAAGTGAGACCGTCATGAAAACACATTGTCTGCAAGGTCAATTTGATTTGGATTGAATTTTAAATAAAGCTTTAAAATGACCTATCAGTACCTCTGAAACAAATAATACATTATATGTTAAAAAAAAAAAAAGAAGAAGAAGATAACAGGAAGGGAAGAATGAAGGGGGGGAATCGGAGGGGGAGATGAACCATTAGAGACTATGGACTCTGAAAAACAAACTGAGGGTTT